TACGGAGTATTTTTTTTTTTGAACATTTTGCCTCTATTTTCAGCTGCAAAAACTGGAATTAGTGTTTGTCTTTAAAGCAATTTTTTATTCATTAATTTCAATTTTAATTAAAGATGCTTTATGTTAACTTGTTGTGTGTGCAGAAATTACTTACTTTTATGGCGATGCTTTCATGAAGTCGAAAGTGTACAAACTCAAGCATCTTAAGTTCAAATTGGAATATCAAATGGAACACAAGCTGCAATGTTCAAGTTTCTTCCCACAATAATTCTTCCTCTCAAAGCTCTCAAGACTTGCATGAACACTTTTTATCCCATTAGACATGTTGTTTTTAGCTTTAAAATATTTTGTACTCATTTTAAACAATATGGAGTATTACTGTGTATGTATTTTTTGGAATACTATTATGGTGCACTACATTTTAATGTGGGTTATTATGAAATACTCGGTATTTGTTAAATTTTTTCTATTATTTCATTGTATATATACTCCCTCCGTTCTTTATTATCTGTCCCGCTAGCCTTGGGCACGGGTTTTAATAGAAAAATAGTAGGGTAAATGTAGAGTGTGTAGGGTAAATTATAAAGTAGGAAATAGAATATATTAAAAAGAGTAAAGTGGTAATAAAGTGATGATAAAGTAGGAAAGAGAGTATATTAAGTAGAGTAAAGTTATGATAAAGTAGGAAAGAGAAAGTAGTTTGTAAAAAGTAAGAGGGGTAAAAGTAAAAAAAGTGGGGGTATTTTATCAAAAACTTTCCTAAAATAGAAAGAGAGAAATAATAAAAAATGTCCCAAAATGGAATGCGAGATAGATAATAAAGAACGGAGGAAGTATTTAAGAGTTCAAATTTAAAATTTATATGCTTTGAGTTTGTAATTATAAGGAATCAATATCGTCAGATTTAAAACAAAGTGTAGTAAAAAATATTTAAAAAATATATATTTATATTTTTTTTGTAAATATAAAATAAATAGTGGCAGAATTTAGTGACAGAAATTCCGTCACAAAACATAGTGGCTGAGACATCCGTCACTAAATTCCGTCTTCAATTTGTGACAGAAATAAAATTCCGCCACTAAACATAATAGCTTCCAGGTTTTAGTGACAGAGAGTCCGTCACAAATATCCGCCAGTAACCCATTTTGTGGCGGAATTAGTGACGGATTTTCTGCCACTAAATTCCGTAAATTCTTGTAGTGGTCACTCCCACCCACAACCCCAACCCCTCCTCCATTTGCATGCACCATGCAGGATTTCCTGCTCCAGCTCCCATGATCCCATCCATGTAAAAATCGCACACCTCTTCTTTGGTGTTGGCTGCTAAGTAAACGTTCAGCTTTGTCTTGAACCCGAAAAGAGATGCTTTTTTCAGCCTAAAAAGAAGGTCTTTTGAGTCTGTGCTTTTACCCCTGAATACTTTCCATTTACTGTGTAGACTAAGGATGTTTTTACTTGGACCGTAATTTGCTGGTCTGGTCTGGTCTGGTCTGGTCTGGTCTGGTCTGGTCTGGTCTGGTCTGGTCTGGTCTGGTAAGGTCTGATTTCTTTGTATTTTTATAACTATCCAAGTCTGGTCTGGTCTGAACTGGTCTGGTCTGGTCTGGACTAGTCTGGTTTGGTCTGGGGCAAATTACAGACCAAGTAAAAACATCCTAAATAGCTGTAGTTTGAACAAAGGTAAAATATTTTAGATAAAAAGTGGATTATGCTGAAAGCCTGAAACAGAGGAGAATTCTGATGGACAAACAAAGAAAATGAATGTTTCACTATATTAAAGATAGTGGATCGATAAAAATGTGACTTTTATAATTTGGTTGAGATTAAGACGACTTAAGATGCATAAACGTAACAGTATTTTTAAGTGTTTCTATATATTGTTGCAATTTAATACGGAGTAACATAACTCTTAAATAAAACAAACATATATCAGATCATAACTATTTCATTCTATCCGTAAATATTGTAGCCATCAATATATTCAAATTTGTGATACTCACTCCCATTCTAAATAATCTTCATAGTTTAATTTGACTTTACGGTTTTTAAGAAAGTGGAATTTTTGTTTTGACTTTCCCATCATACTCCACAACTAGTAGATAAAGTGTAGTGGGAGAGAGAAAGTAGGTGTAAAATAGGTAATAAAGTAAGGGAACAAAAGTAACTTTATATCAAAAACTTTTCAAAAGTAGAAGAGTGTGAAATTTATTTTGGACCTACCCAAAAAAAAGTGAAATGTTTTTTTAGGACCGGAGGGAGTATAAATTAAAGTTGTACTTGGGGACCAACATTCCATGTGTTGTCCACTGTACATTGGTGACATAGATAGTTAAGGTACGTAATATATAATGTATGGTGGTGGTCTGGTGTGATTTGTTTAAATATGATCTTCTCTCGTATGATGTACTTTGTAAATGTGTGTGATTCATGCATGTGTAAAACATAACAGTATCCCTCAAATAGGACTCATTTACTCCCATTTTGAAAATTATTTTTTAATTGGGAATAAATAGGTCATATTTTGGGGAGAAAACACATTGAGTCCTATTTAGAATTTATCTATATGTTTTAGTCCATTAATTTTGAAAATTTTGTCTAATATCTGCTATTGCCCGGATTGAAATGAGTTAAATTAAAAACATATCCCATTATCCCCTACTTTATAAAATCTATCCAAATATATTATCAATTTATCATATCGAAAATTCGTAGTTTAAAAAAATAAAAAATTTCATATCAAAATATACCATCAATTTATCATATCCAAAATTCGTAATGTACGTATATGTTCATATAATGGGTATAAACTAGCTACAAATATTTCATCCGTTCTTTTTTAATTGAGATTCTCATATTTTCATATTAATTTGACAACACAGGATTTTGATTGTTAATATATTTAAATCTCTATTAACAAAAAAAATAAAAAAAATAACAATTTTGAAAATTTGTAATTAGAAATTTTTCATAAAACAAATTATTATGCATTAGTAAGTAAACTGTAGTTAAAGTAGAGATTTGAACGTGTTGCATTGTAACTAAAAAGAAAATTGATTTGCAAATTGCAGCAGTGGGGAATTTGCAAAATTTTCTATTTTGCATTAGTTGTCCCACATATTAAATTCTTCTCACCAACCAAAATAATTTTGCGCACATATCTCATCTACCACTTTCTTTCTCTACCAGATCTACTCTGCCATGTGAAATTAGAGGTAAGAAATTTATCATTTCTTAATTAAATTCTAGTTTAGTTATGTGTCTTTATTTTGAGCTTCTTAATTATATATTATTACTTCGTATATGTCTTTGGTTTGTGTTAACTAGTTAAGTAAACTTATTATTACATTCTTTATTAATTAGCCTCTTCTATTATTAAATGATTAATTTATGATGAGGTGAAATGTGAACGAAAGTGAGAGCTTTTTGTTCTTCAAGAAGCCTTGAAAGGAGAGGGAAGGGCGGATTATGTATTGGTGCTACTATAATATATATATTATAGTGCATATTTTTCTATAACATCCAAATATAGTTTTCTACATGCGTGATTTCAGTGGCAAAATTTTCATCACTAGATGCGTCATTACCTATATTAGTGACAGATTCATTGATAAAATTTATGTCACTAAAATCCTCAAATTCTTGTAGTGATATGCTAATGAATTACTTTTTGTTCATTGAAGTATTCGGGCCTGGGTTTTTGTTATCCATTCTCACAAAATGGATCGTCATTTCCCGGAGATTGAACCGTTGGATCGTCGTGATTTTTGGACAAAAGCTTCACAGGATCTGGGCCAACATTCTGGACTGTAGTGGAGATCGGATTTTGAGGTCCGGAGGTCGGGTTTCGTTGATCTGGACAGTAGCTATTTTTCTGATGATATATTTCTTATCTTGACTCTATTTTGATTTCATACACCTTGATGTGATTACTTCCAAGGATATGATGATTATGTATGCCTCTAGTATTATCTATTGAAGACTTTGTGTTGCTCCTTTGATGATGATATTGGATTTAATTTAAGCGACCAAAATGGTCTCGTGGTTTTTCCCTAATTAATGGGGTTTCCACGCTAAAATTCCGGTGTCTTTGTGTTGTGTGTGCTTACTGTTTTTAGCTCAATATCTTGGTGCATAGCAGTGATATTGTGTTTCTTCCAATTGAATTAAGACCACCCTATTTGTTTGCATCCTCACAGGTTCATTCAAGTTGGAAAAGTTTAGCGGAAATTAATTCCACATTTTATTAGTTCTGTTTGTGGCAGTTTTTCCCATCACCTACATGGGATAAACAGGATCATGTTCTTAAACAAAGCTGCACTTTTTATTCTAAAAGTGCTTTTTATAATCTACTTGGGACAGGCCAGGATGCAATATTTTTAGTGATATTTACTTGAGCCAAACAGGATCAACATGTCTCAGCTACTTTCAGTTCTTTTGAATCTACATTCAACTACTCAAGGCTTAGGAATACTATCCCGTCCCAAATTGATTTGCAAATTTGATTTTTTTTGTTAAACGGTTTCATTTTATTCGCATAATTAGGATGTCCATTTTTAATTATATTCTAATTTGGAATTTGCAACTTTGAAGAGATTTAATGTAGTTTCTGAATATGTAATTTTAATTATTAAAATAGAATTAATTATCGATAGAGAGGATTGACTTTTTTTATTGGTTGATCAAAGAATGTTGACTTTGAAAAAAAAAATTGGGACGGATGGAGTATTTCAGTAGTGGTAATTGTGGTATTGGATGAAGAGGTACATGTGTCTATTTAAATTATGTTCTCACGTATACTCTAATCTTTCTAATCTCCCAATATATTTAAAGCCGGTTTCCTTTACAATTGGACACTTGAGGTTAGAAGAAACGTTCTTTTACTCATTTTGTTATTCAATTTTAGTTCTTAAATTTCTTATCATCAGATCTTTTTTTTTTTTTTTAATTAGTGATTTCAATAGAATCATTTGCAAACACCGCCTAAATACAAATTACAACTTAAGTGAGTAGTTTCATTTGAATAAATCCAACTTAACTTAGAAGCTTCAACTATATAAATCCTTGAAACCAACGTAACCCACCGAAATGTAACTTCATCACTTAAAGCTCGATCTTTAACAAAACAAATGTAACAAAAAATAACAATGCGTAGTACTCCGTATCATTTAATTTTCAGCCAAAAAAAAAATATCATTTTATAATTTCAAATATACAACCACATTCTTTATATATACACATTATTTGCAATCCATGCATCCTTAATTTCTCAGCTCTGATATCCACTCTCTTTTATGTGTTTCCCATGTCTACCATGTTTCCTCCCATTTCCTGGTTCTGTTTCAGATATATATTGTCATATATAGTAAACAACAAACTGTACGTTAGCCAAAAAATAAATAACAAACGACCTACTCATAGCAGTTATCATACATGGTGAGGGTCCTGTAATTAATTACTTTTCTAATTTGACTTCACCCGTTATATATGATAAAATAGTTCTCCGTAAACTTTCCAAAAGTTTGATAGAAAACATTGATGATTAAGAATATATATAATTTCATAAATAGGAGTGAAAACGATGTTAAATTCTAAAATAGGAGCATTATATCCTGAAAAACTTGCCATATTTGGCATTACCAAGCTATGAATATGGTACTATGTAGTATAGTAGAATAAGAGACACTATTTTTCAAATATGATACCAATTACTCTTGTCTAGCGGAAAAAAATATGGTGATCCTAATTTGGAATCCCACAAAATTTTTACTCCTATTTAGGGTAATTTCTTATTAATAATTAATGATGAACTTACTTTAAAAAAAATAATGATGAATTTTTTTAATAAGAGTAAATTATATTTTTCCCTTCAAATATTATTAAAAGCGGAAATAAAAAATAACATTAGTATAAGATTTTGATTATGAGACAACCTAAAACAAAAAGTAGAAACTTAATTGCGGATGAAGGAGGTAGCTTTTAAAGAAAATTCTCTAATTATATGATGGATAAAGGCAATAAATATGAGGAGTTTTAATCAATTTATTCTTTTAATAGAAATAAAAAGGACCTATTTAGGGAATAAAACATACTTAATTATTATTTTGAACTTTATCTATATACTTTAGTCCTAAATTGAACAATTTCTATATATAGTTTAATTTCATTTTAGACTTAGGGTGGTCGCCTTAATATTATCCACCCTAAAGCTTATTTCATTCTTACATAGTACTCCCTCCGTTCCCAAAAATACTTCCCACTTTCCTTTTTGGGCCGTTCCCAAAAATTCTTCCCACTTTCCCTTTTTGGACAATTTGTGTGACTCACAATCATTTTACCTTTTTCTCACACAACCACAGCCACACATTTCCACTTTATTCCACTTTCTTAATAGGCGTGCCAAGTCAAACCGGGAAGAATTTTTAGGAACGGAGGTAGTAGTTTTTTACATCATTCTATTATTATTGGGCATTAATACATTCCTATCAAAAGAATTTGAGTCAGCCATTAATTACCGATCTCTGCCGGTGGATATCCTCAAGAATGACAACAAGAGAAACGATGAAGGCATAATCAACGTTTGGATGGACAGCCATCCAGAAGTTGACTTTCCCAGCAGCTGTCTTCCCAGCCATGTGTTTCTTGTGCATTTGGGCAACAATTGCAGAGGACTCACTCCCACCCCCAACCCCAACCCCTCCTCCATTTGCATGCACCATGCAGGATTTCCTGCTCCAGCTCCCATCCATGTAAAAATCGCACACCTCTTCTTTGGTGTTGGCTGCTAAGTAAACGTTCAGCTTTGTCTTGAACCCGAAAAGAGATGCTTTTTTCAGCCTAAAAAGAAGGTCTTTTGAGTCTGTGCTTTTACCCCTGAATACTTTCCATTTACTGTGTAGACTAAATAGCTGTAGTTTGAACAAAGGTAAAGTATTTTAGATAAAAAGTGGATTATGCTGAAAGCCTGAAACAGAGGAGAATTCTGATGGACAAACAAAGAAAAGGAATGTTTCACTATATTAAAGATAGTGGATCGATAAAAATGTGACTTTTATAATTTGGTTGAGGTTAAGACGACTTAAGATGCATAAACGTAACAGTATTTTTTAACCGTTTCTATATATTGTTGCAATTTAATAGCATAACTCTTAAATAAAACAAACATATATCAGATCATAACTATTTCATTCTATCCGTAAATATTGTAGCCATCAATATATTCAAATTTGTGATACTCCATCCCATTCTAAATAATCTTCATAGTTTAATTTGACTTTACGGTTTTTAAGAAAGTGGAATTTTTGTTTTGACTTTCCCATCATACTCCACAACAAGTAGATAAAGTGTAGTGGGAGAGAGAAAGTAGGTGTAAAATAGGTAATAAAGTAAGGGAATAAAGGTAACTTTATATCAAAAACTTTTCAAAAGTAGAAGAGTGTAAAATTTATTTTGGACCTACCCAAAAAAAAGTGAAATGTTTTTTTAGGACCGGAGGGAGTATAAATTAAAGTTGTACTTGGGGACCAACATTCCATGTGTTGTCCACTGTACATTGGTGACATAGATAGTTAAGGTACGTAATATATAATGTATGGTGGCGGTCTGGTGTGATTTGTTTAAATATGATCTTCTCTCGTATGATGTACTTTGTAAATGTGTGATTCTTGCATGTGTAAAACATAACAGTATCCCTAAAATAGGACTCATTTACTCCCATTTTGAAAATTATTTTTTAATTGGGAATAAATAGGTCATATTTTGGGGAGAAAACACATCGAGTCCTATTTAGAATTTATCTATATGTTTTAGTCCATTAATTTTGAAAATTTTGTCTAATATCTGGTATTGCCCGGATTGAAATGAGTTAAATTAAAAACATATCCCATTATCCCCTACTTTATAAAATCTATCCAAATATATTATCAATTTATCATATCGAAAATTCGTAGTTTAAAAAAATCAAAAATTTCATATCAAAATATACCATCAATTTATCATATCCAAAATTCGTAATGTACGTATATATTCATATAATGGGTATAAACTAGCTACAAATATTTCATCCGTTCTTTTTTAATTGAGATTCTCATATTTTCATATTAATTTGACAACACAGGATTTTGATTGTCAATATATTTAAATCTCTATTAACAAAAAAAATAAAAAAAAGTAACAATTTTGAAAATTTGTAATTAGAAATTTTTCATAAAACAAATTATTATGCATTAGTAAGTAAACTGTAGTTAAAGTAGAGATTTGAACGTGTTGCATTGTAACTAAAAAGAAAGATACATACCGGCTACTCCCCCGTTCCAATTTGATTTGCAAAATTTTCTATTTGACATTAGTTGTCCCAAAATAATTTTTCAGTTTCTATTTTAGGTATGCAAAAAAAATAGAGTGACAAATTTATTCTTACTTTTACTATTTTTCATTAACTTAAAATCATCTACTTTTGGAAGATGGATAAAAATGTATAAAGCAACCATCATTTATTATCATTCTTTAATTCTTGTGTCAGTTAAACTTTGCAAAAAAATTGGGATGGCGGCCGGGGTAGTATATGTTTAAAAATGAAGTTACGGCTCCATAGCGCTTACATTTTGTTGTAAAGTGGCGACGGGGTTGTCGGCAGCATCGAGCAAGAGTATGCGATCCCGATTAAGGAATAGGTTGCTTTTGATCTTGAACATCACGTTCCCGTCCACGCCCAATACTTCATACTTCTCTTGTTGGAAAAGTATCCTCACCTTCCTCACAAAGGCCAGATCTACCCCATACGGAGCAACGAATTCCGGGCCGATGACTGGCGCCATCGGTGCCGTCTGCTGTGGGTAAGGGATGCTTGCTCCGGCCATGAAGATCTCAACACGTACTATACAAAGAAATAATAAGATAACCTATGTAAATAGACTATGTAGATAGGTAGTACTACGTATTATATTTAGTATGAGCTGATTAACTTAGAGATGGTGATCTACAAATGAAGATTGATATGTTAATTTATGTAATTATTGTTTATATGGATTGGATATATATCTGGTGGTGGAATTGTTGCAATGAGAAGAAACTGTTGACAATGGCTCTTAGTTCAATTCAAACACGGTTTGCTATTACTTCAAGGGGTCTTAGTTCAATTCAAAGAGGTGCGTTGACAATTCCTATCTTTTGTCTCGTCTCTTGAACTAGTCAATTATGGTTGCCATGCATGACCACTTCAAAACAAAAACATACATAGTACTACATAAAAAAACTAAATTATGGTATTTGACAGGGATTTGACACATATTTTTTATATAGATTTGTCAAAATTCATAGGTATTTGCATTGACACGAATTTGGCACATATACTTAAAATCCGTGGCAAATTTCGTGCCAATGTCACTTGGCACAAGCTATTTGGCACACTACGGCGCCGTTTCAAATATATGTTATGATCATATGTGCCCAACTCGGTCAATTTGTGTCAATATCATTGTTTTCTTGTAGTGAAATTGATTAGAACTTCTCAAAGTATGAATATATAAGTCCTGTTTTGGAATAAATCCAAGGTACTTCTACTTACGAACTTTATTGTTGTTTTAGTTCCATTCAAGGAATTTTCTCATTAATATATATTTCATGCACTTTGAGAGATGTTTGTACTGTATTTTATGGGTGGAAGTTTACCTCCCAGTTTGTTCCCATGGCGCTACGCGGCTACGCCTCTTAATTTCATGTGTAATAGGTAGTATATCAATTTATTTTTTTATATTATCTGCGTGACATCAATCGAGCGAGCCAGCGAGGTGGTTTGGTTGGGGCTCTTATAAGTAGGGATGAGCAAAAATACCGAACCGGCATGGTACCGAACCAAACCGGTATTGTACCGGACCAAAAAATGAGGTTTGAAATGGATCTCAATTTTTTTGTTCCGAACCGGACCATACCGGTTCTAACTTCTAAACAATACCATGATCGGTTCTCATATATGAGAACCGATACCGGACCGAACTGGACCGAAGTATGATTTAATTATTTAAATTTACATTTATACCATTACTTTGTCTAGTGTCTTCAAACTTTCACCGTCTTTACTAGTTCATATGAAGCCTGGAACCGGACTAATGTATGGATTAATTATTTAAATTTGTACTATTTTAGTTTATTTGAAATTTATTAATTATGTAATGTTACCTCCATCCAAAATTGATTTGCAAAATTAACTTTTCTTGGTCAAATAGTTTCATTTTATTCACTAAATTAGGATGTCAAATTTTAATTATATTTAATTTGAAGTTTGCAACTTTGAAGAGATTTAATGTAGTTTCTCAATATGTAAATTTTAATTGTTCAAAATTTAATTAATTATCAATAAAGAGGATTTAACTTTAACATTGATTGACCAAAAAGTATTGACTTTGCATGTCAATTAGGGAAGGAGAGAGTATGAAAATTGATAAATTATGTGCATTTTTGGAGGATGACTAAACATTAATTTCCCCTTAAACATTTGAAAAAATGGCATTGTTTGGTATTGATATGATATGATACCGTCTCGTTTGAAAATGAAACTGTACCGAACGGGTTTAGGTCTAAGACCGAACCAAACCAAACCGTTTCAATAGTGACGGTCCGGGTACGAGTTCGGCCAAATATTGGACCGGACCGGACTGCGTCCACCCGTACTTAAGTTTATGTTTCTTACCCATATGTGCTAAATTGAAGGTAGTTAGGGGTGGGCCAGGTCTAATCAGGTCCCAGTTCAGCAGTTGTTATACCGTATGACCGGTATACGGTGAGCACCGTATACCGGCATACGGTTTTTGGCAAGCAGTGTATTTGGCAAGCACCGAATCTTTATTTTTTATTTCTCTTTTTTTAAAAAATGGTAATAACTTTTTTATTTTTGATCCGATTTTTATAAAATTTATACCAACATTTTTTATTTTTCATGATCTTTCAAATGAGACCAATATTGCCTATGTAGTTTTAACCTCCGTAAAATATGTAATTTTACGTGTAGAAATAGGTAACTCACGTCCACTCAGGCCAAATGCAACTCGTGTGTATAAATATGTAACTCTACGTGTAAAAATATGTAACTTTACTTAAAAAAATATGTAACTCGCGTTCAGACAGGTCAAATGCAACTCGTGTGTATAAATATGTAACTCGCATGTAGAAATATGTAACTTTACGTATAAAAATATGTAACTTTACGTGTAAATATATGTAACTCGCGTTCAGACAAGTCAAATGCAACTCGTGTGTATATATATGTAACTCGCGTGTAGAAATATGTAACTTTACGTGTAAAAATATGTAACTTCACATATAAAAATATGTAACTCACATATATAAATACCTAATACAATAAATTTTTTTGTACACAATTTTAAGATAAATTGTGATTTACACAATTATTTTTCTGTATTAAATTTAGTTTGGTTTTCCTTATAATCCAATACACATTAATATAATAGTTCGATAATTTCTTAAAATTACATAAGCAATATTGGTCTCATTTGAAAGATCATGAAAAATAAAAAATGTTGATATAAATTTTATAAAAATCGGATCAATAATAAAAAAGTTATTACCATTTTTTAAAAACAAAAGGATAAAAAATAAAGAAATCATACTTCAATACTCCGTCGTTTTGCAACCGGGCACACCATCCTCATGGTGCACCGGTTGCACGATATAATTTGCGCCAGTTCAGCATCGGTTTATGCTGGTTCTAGTCGACTTGGGAGTCCAAGTTCGAGTCCCCACACTTAACAAGTTAATTAACATATTTAATTGTATATACTCCGTATAACATTTTAAAATTTAGAAGACTTGCCCTTTTATTGAAGTTCCATGTGTACTTATTGGGGTTGTTTGGCAATCGGCTGTTAGCTTTAGCTGTTAGCTGGTTATGTCAGCTGTTTGATCACAGCTGGTTGTGTTGGCTGTTTTGATTGGCTGGTTATATTAGCTTGTTGTTAATAAATGTTTGGTAAAACTAGCTGTTATAAAACAGCTGTTTGAATGTAAAATGACGTATAAGGACATGTGTGTGTATATAATGTTTGAGTAATGCTAATAGTTATAATTTTAAAAGTATAAATTATTTGCAAAATAAATTATTTAAGAAAAACAATATTTTATTTGAAATTTTAAAAGAATAAATTAAATTTTAAATACAAGCATAATAAATCTTAACGAATAAATCTTTTAAAATGAAATAAGATGACTTTGTATTGCAAAAAAAACATCAATAGTGTCAATTACGAAAAAGAATAATCATGCGTCTCAAACAGTTCATTAATACTAATAAAAAGTAAAAACCCCGTCTCAAACATTTTACATACTTAGTTTAGCTTAAAATAAAGTAATGATGGTCACAATTATTTATGAATGCGTCTAGCTTCCATCAAGCTAGAAGTTATATTATTACGGATAACTCTCATTTCTTGACTTCGAATGTTTGCATCATCTTGTGCAGCACCCCCTTCAACATCTTCAAATACATCCGGAGGTATGAATTCAGGATCCTCATCAATAAATTTAAAGCCTGGATCAACTATTGTGCTTCTCCTGATGTAGTTGTGCAATGCAAAACATGAACAAATTATCTTGTTTTGATCCATTAGTGAGTATCTTGGCATTTTTTGCAATATCTTCCATCTAGCTTTAAGAACACCAAAAGCTCTCTCGATACAACTTCTTAAAGAGGAATGTGCTCTATTAAAAATCTCTTGAACTCCTTTCGGATTTGCACCACGGAACTCTGACTGATGGTACCTCGTCTTGGGGTAGGGAGTTAAATATCCATCTCTTTCAGGATAACCTTTATCCACCAAATAATACTTTCCTACAATTATAAAAATTAAGGTATGAAGATTGCACATAATGTGAACGACTTCGTTGAAAGCAAAACAAAAGTATGGAATTACCTCTTGGTGGCTTTGGAAATTTTAGAGCTGGATTGTTGATTGCGTCTAAGAAAATGCGTGAATCATGAGCTGACCCCTCCCAACCTGTTAATACATATGTGAATAATAAATCAAAGTCACATACTGCTAATACATTTGTCGTCGGTATCCCTTTCCTTCCCCTATAGCGCAATTGATCCTCCTCAGGAACCGTTATTGCAATATGCGTACCATCAATTGCTCCAATACAATTCTGGATTAAAAAGTAAGAATTACATAATTGTGATCTATACACACACAATGATTAATTTTAAAATGATGGGTGCTCAGAATTGTATTCCTTACCTTGAAATGAGGCATGTACCTTTCATCATTAGCAATTTGTATTGGAACATTCTTGAATTCTGGATCTTTTGGTATAATTAAATCTCTTGAAAATCCATCCATCGCGCTCAAGACTTCCTTAAAAATTCTACTCACCGTTTCACCGGAATGTTGAAAACGCTCTTGAGTATCTCTATTGGAAGCTCCTTTGCTTAGTACAAATACAAATAAACCAACCTTTTCCAAAACTGACATCCTATATGAAGGTCTTAAGCCATACTTATTTTCTAGATCAAAGCATAAATGGCGAAATGTTTCTTGATGCATTCTAAAGGCATTAAAACACCTTTTATCATGACCACTCAATAGTTCATTGATCCACATTTCTCCGGTTAAATATGAAGTCATACATGGCTCCTTATATAAATGGCTCACAAAATAGGAACTAAGGCATGTAGATACACAAGCAACCATATCCAAGAATTCTTCTTCTTCACTCAAATACTCTAAGCATAAAAGAAGTTGTGCCATTTCCATATTGCCATTATCCATACCTACATTTAAACAAGTAAAAATACATGATGCAATATGCAATAATAATTTAGTAAATAATATAAATTACAATACAAGACAATAAGATATCATAAGTTCACAATATTTCAACATTGTTTAAAAGGGGAAAAAGTTAACATTCGAACAAGCATAACAAAATTAAATGTCTAAGGTAAAAGCTCAGAAACATCCAATCAAATTTAGTTCCCTGATTTATTGTACATAAACTTGATGTACTCCACCCTACTATTGTCATCTGGTAAACAAAAGAAAATTGTTCGTCGCTGCGGATCCTCAAACATTGAACAAGCAAAGAAAAACTCGGGAGAAGTGGTAGATAGACCATCCAAACAACACAGTTTTGCCATTGCTTCTCCAAGACTGTATTCTGATGTGTTCTTACTTGAATTGGCTTTAATCATATCTTTCATTAAATTAGTAACTTCATTGATTGATTCACCCCTTTTCAAAACCACTTCCATCATGCCACCAAACATTTCTTGAAATGCCGCCATCCCTGTTTTTTTTGTTTGATTTGTTTTGGCACTTTTACTGCTTTGTGATGAATCACCTTCAAGTGCCCTCTTACCTTTCCTTATATCATCTCTTCCAATTTGTGAGATCTGAGGGATATGCGTGGAAGGAGATGAAGACGTAGGGCTAAGCTCACACCACAAATCATCCCATGATGCATTAGTTGTACCATGTACACCCTCGTTATTCTCTTCCTCTCCAACACCCATATCATGATGAATATCAGTAGGTAGGGAAGGAATATAAACATCATCAGCATCCACATGCAAATCTTCTTCTGAGATGATATTTCCTGGAGTGTACTTTAGATTTCCTTGGGCTGAAGTAGCAAAGATTTGATCCATTTTGTATTCAAGCTCAGGATCAATCCCTTCGTCTCGAAATTGTTCAAACTTAGCATTTTCCTATTAAAAAAATTGAACAAATGTTGTATAATTGTATTGCTATTCAAGTTATGTACTAACGTATTTGAGTAAATAGAACTAACCTGTATTTTTAAGGCCCACCAATCACTAGAAGCACTTATAGTTCCTTTCACATGATCCCATCCCAAGCCTGTTTCTTTTCCCTTCAATTGTTTCCACAAGCTCCATGATTTTTTTATCGTATCAAGCTTGTTTTTCAATTTCATTTTATCCCATGGTAACTTAGTCTCCTTAAGAAAATCCAACTCAATTTTCTTCCACACCAATCTTTGAGATACAACTGCACCATTTTTTCCTTTACTTTTTTCAACATGCTTAATACAAAGATCACAAAGGACGTGAAGTGAGTTTTTTGACCAAATAACTCGACCCGCTTTGTTTTCAGTTGTATTTTCATGTTCACCGCTTTGAGAATCATCTATACTTTTCTTTCGTAGAGGAGCCATCTAAAACTCAAAATAACAAAGTATATATATATTTAAAAACAAAAATTATAACTGAAAGGAAAAAAAAGTATTGCTACCAATGTATATATCATAGAACCAATTAAGTTTAAGACAAATATGCATTCATATATCACGGAATAAATTAAGTTTAATTGTTTAAGACAGCTCATAGAGTATTTTCATTAAGTTTACCACTTAGGAATCCTACTAACTCTAGTTACTGCATATGTTCTAAGTTTTTCACAGAACTTAGAATCATAGATCAAGTAGTTTGTGTTGATTCTTAAATGCTAACCAATAGGAGTAATAATGGACTGATATCTTGTTGCATGTTTTTCGAGTCTTATTTAGTGTTCAATATCTTCTCAGGATGTTATTTTCCACTATTTGAAAAATTATTGAATGTTTTATTTTATAGGAAGTCACTGTCAAGAAGTTTTTGGACCAAGATATTACTGGGGAATCCCTTGAAGAATTCAAAAGTGAGGTACCATTTGCTGGTGTCCTTTTGGGATTATAAACTTAGTGATTACACTGTATCATTATTAATTGTTTTTATCTGTACCCAATTCTATCACACATTCAATTACTTTCATGTTGTTGATGCATTTATGGATCAGGTTTTGACATAAGATGTTTTTTTTAATAAAAACATTTGGATTGCAAGGTATGGATCATGAAAAGGCTTAGGCATCCTAATGTTGTTCTTTTCATGGGAGCTGTTACCCGTCCTCCACACCTTTCAATTGTTACTGAATTTCTACATAGGTATTACCGGAATAGAGTAAATTTTATATTTGATTAAATAAGTAATACTCTTATCTTAGTAGGTTGAGATTTTGAAATATCATTTTTGCGTGCAGAGGTAGTCTGTACAGATTGATCCATCGCCCCAACACTCAGTTAGATGAACGGAGACGATTAAGGATGGCTCTTGACACAGTATGGTCCAGTTTTCCTATTTCTATAAGATTTGTAATAGTTGGGACTTGTATTTACAGTTTCACTTCATTGAAAATACAATTGCAATGTCAAATAAATACTCTTAATACTTGAAAGAAAAAACTCACAAGCAGCCCTGTGAGTATAAAAGTGCAGCACATGCAACCAAACAACAAACTAATTCCTCACAAGCATTTTAACAAACACCTTTTGGACAAGTAGGAAATCAGAAACTTATAAAGAAATCCTCAAGCACCAAGCTGCCCAATATTCACAACAATAATACATTTGCAAAGTTAGCTCACTCAAACATCAATACCCAACAGAAATCACCAACATATCAAGCTTAAAAATCAAAATCAATTCACAATACACAATCTAAAAAAGAATTATTTTGTTCAAATAAAGTTTGAATATATATGAGTAGACCTCACACATTTACAACCTGCCACAAAAGAGTAAATGACTGAACTAGAAGATGCATCTCCCAACCATGGTTCTCTAAAGTTTACCCTAAATGAAAATTGCAGGTCACCCAATACCAAACGCAATGTTTTTAGCTAAGCTATGTTTTCAGCAGTTCACAGATACATTTCATTTATTCATTTGAGTGGCCAAATACTAACACAATCACAATGACAATCCAACTTAAAAAAGCATAAAAGGACACCATTAAAAAGGCCAATTATCTAAATGAAATATGCAGTTCAATATGAAATAACTAAGGCTAATTTCCTAAATGAAATATGCAGTTCAATGAAGAGTTCCAACAATGGAAAGTCCACCGATTAAAGCTCCCAGTGAAAAACAGAAAGATAATAAAATATGAATTCTTGAAAAGAATGACTAGAACCAATTATTACATATACATATACACTTAAGACACATATTCGCAAGTTACACACACAAATATATATATATATAGATAAAAACATCCAGAAAGATGCATATATACATAGCGCACACACACATAGCACACCCTTGCAAAAGTAAAGAAAAGAAAACAGAGAGGGGAAGGTCGACAAGGGGAACGGCCGTAGATCAGTCGCCGAAGAATAAATAACATCGCCGGAGAAGAAGGAAAAAATTGAATATACAAAGTAATGGGATAAAATTAGAAGAGGAAAAATCAAGAAAGAAGTTGCGTACCTTTGTTTGTAGTTGGCCGGGAAGAAGAAAGATGGCTGAGGAAAAAATGGAGATGCCTAGTTGATGTTCTAACGTAGGTACCAGAACGAGGGTATGAAGGGGAAAAAACTTCGGATAAGCCGAAATTTGACCTAAACCGCTGCCTAGGCCAGCGTTTCAAATTTCGGATTCTTTGTCTGGATAAGCCGAATGAATAAGCTGATTACCAAACAAGGTTTTTGACATTTTAATCCAGTCAAACAGATTTTTTGAGTCAAACAAGCTAAAAAACAGCTGATAAGCTGTTTACCAAACAACCCCACACTCTGCGGTAGGGCAGAGTCTGAAAATAACAAATCGAGGATGTTACTTGGACTGCAATTTGTTGGTCTGATATGTTTAAGTTCAATCTGGTCTGGTTGGTAAACGTCTGGTCTCTATGTATTTTATAACTACAGATATCAAGTCTAGTTTGGTCTGGTCTATTTAAGTTTGGTCTGGTTTGGTTTGTTTAAGTCTGGTCTGGTCTCAGACTAAAAGCAGTCCAAGTAAAAACTTCATGAATCAAAGTAAACCGGGCCGAACCATAATAATCAAATTAAACTGGACCGCTAATATATAAGAAACCGAAACCGAATGTAAAAACTAAACCGTAGTTGTTTGGTTCAGTTTTGTTTTTTACCCTTCAAAACCGAATAAATCGAACTAATCAAAATATGAAATTTAATGTATTAATTGTTAAGCATTAATCATATATCATCATCTTTGATTTTCTTGTACTAGAAAGTTAAATTTTGTATTATGTTTAGTTTATAAATGCATTGGCACATTCATTGCCTGTAATAATGTAACTATATTCATGTATTATATCTTTTATATATCTATTTTGAAATTCGTTGCATGATTGTGATATACTACTTATTTTTACAGGTTATTACCTGTACCTTTTATTTTCATGTAACTTAAAGTTTTTATATTGATAAAACAAATAAATATTTGTCTCGGCCATATCACATATATAGAACATAAATGCTCATGAACTTTTTTCAAACTAGTTAGAGAAATGTATATAATGAAGATATTCACTTTTATTCCAAAAAATTGGAAAACTGTATCAATTTTCCCACATATTAATCATACGGAGTATAATTTAAGACACATTTATTTGAAAATTGACATGTACATTCCTAGTCACCGAATATGTCACATTTTTTTTTATTTTTTTTAAATAAGTCATTTTTTGACATTTTTCAAT